ATTTGAACCCACAGTGTCAAGGTGTGTTTTAACTTGGTTATTTGTTTGTTCCTGTGTTTTACAATAATTTTTAGTGGTTATTCCGAGATGTTCTTTATTCTGTTATATTATGTAAAGTTAGATTAGTTTATTCATGAGAAGGTTTGTTCATACTCTGTCTTTGTTCATTTATTTGTTACTTAGGTTATTTATTCTTTGTTCTTTTTCTTTAGTAGAGTTTGGAACTACAGATTCAAGAGAATTGTTTCGGAAGTGTCTTTGATTGCAAGCCTGTGTTGGGGTCTACGTTAAAGTACTATAAGTACGGCTGGCCGAACCTGGGTAACCCCAGCAGCATAGACGGCTAGTGGTTAGAATGTTGGTGCGTTGAGAAACAAAGTTGTCTCGCTCGTGAGCATATCGATTTTGGATCTGACCACTGCATGATTCAGAAGCGGTTTGTTTGCCGCTCATACTCACTACTGCCACCGTCCTATTCAAAATTTCACGACGCTGCGCCATTTCTATGAGGCATTTCACGCACAGAATTCGCTAGTACAATCAGGAACTTCAGTCTTCGTCTGAATGAGAAGTTTTTTATTATTTAAGGCGGTATAACTACTACTGATTTAAGAGGAGCGTCTGGGGTAAATTTTATCTCGGTTATTTACAGACGGATCGATTTGAAATTTGGTACACATGTGTAAACCCTAAAATAACGCAGGTTTTATTCATTTCAATTTTTCGAAAAAATTGAAAGAAAACGTGCAATTCTTAGAAAACGGCAAAAAAGGGGTACTTTAGAAAACCTGTCTCCTCCTAGGATTTTCAAGCTACAACATCGAAACACATATCATTCGATGCGTAAAGACCATATCTACAAACTGATGCTAGGGTTTTTCGAATTTCTCATTTTTGTGAGTGTGGGAGCATTTTGTCCGAAATTTTTCGAAATTTTCGATTTTACCTCCATTTCCCCCCCCCCTTTTTGCAAAATAAAATCCGAACTATAACGAACTTGGAAAAAAGCCTACCATCAGTTTGTAGATCTTTTCTTTGCAAATCGAATGGTATATGTCTCATTGCTGTAACTTCAAAACTCCTCTAGGAGTAGATAGTGACAATAAGTGTGAATGTTCAGGAGAGCGCGACAAAGTCCCGCGCGCATCGGAATAGACACTCAATGTAGCAAGGATACAAAACTAAACGTTACTGCAGCCTGATTCCAGTCAAGGATGGTGGGAGCGACGACACGCAACCCCTCCCGTACAACTGCAGGCGGGTTACTGAAGCACATCGTATGTGGACTAGCTATTTATGCATGCTACCGGAAATTATCGCCCACCTAAAATGTGAAAGAACTCCCCCGCCCCCCCCTCTTTCGCAAGCTGTCGTGAACGCATAAATCAACGTACAGAAATGATTTTGGTACCGTTGGATAGAGCAGAATGTCAGCTTTAAGATGAGACTAAAAACCGGAAAAGCCAAAATTCACAATTTTACCCCAGACGCTCCCCTTAAAAGAGATTTAGTTGTAGGTGACGAGAATGGCATTCCATTAAAAATTAGCATGAAAAGTAAAGGACCTTGAAGAGTAGCAAGTGTCTCCATTCAAATTCGTCACTTTAGTAGTTGAAAAGTCATTAGTTTTACCAGTAAGATGCCCTCAGGCGATTTTTTTACATTCCTTTGAATCCCCGCAAAATGGATTGGCGCATTCAGAACAAATTCCTTTCGTCGCGCACATCATCAGACGTTATATGTTTATGAACCGCTGCAATGTTAGTTAGCATGCACATGTTCAACGTAGTCATTTAAATCTGGTGACCTGTTGCACTAGAGGCAATTATTGTCTGGGGGCGAACGATATCTGAAATCATTCAGTTGAGACTGACTGCCTGTGTTGCGACTGATTGAAATATTTCTAAGTAGCCAGCAAAATTACTATGAACTGTTAGGATTAGCCTTACTGTTGTGCATAGTACAGTTAAGAAATTTGTGATTTCTGATGTTGGAAGCCGACGCCGACGGGCGTATACTCTATGTAATTGGTTATAAAATCACAACTTGCGCTAAATTTTTTGATGGGGACCGTTCTTATCTCTTAATCTATCTTCAGTCACCTTACTTTCTTTCTTGCCAACTGTTGGCATAGGACAGTCGATCCCGACACAGAGAAGGCAAGCCTCACGGAATTCTGAAACTCTGTATCAAAGCCGACCCTCTTGACTGCATCTTGTTTCCACCAGTACAATATTGTTCAATATACTACTTCCTCATGTCCGTTATTCTTCATGATCATTATTTAAGTAATGCTAAGCTTGTCACCTATAACTGAATCTCTAGTTAAATCAGTAGCAGTTGTAAATCTTATTGTTTTGCATACCACCTTAAATATTTGAAAGGACCGCTAGTCCTTGAAAAAGCCTTGGGAAAAATTATTGTTGATTTAAAAAAATATATCCAAAGACTAACAACATTAGCACCCGGATAGAGATAACATTTGATTTAATTAGTTTCATTTTGCTAAATTATCACAAAATTATTCGATAAAATTTGTTCTTATAGTGTAACTTTTCTCACCAGCGCGAGTTAATCCTAATTGCTAATTGTGTATCCTTTTATGCGTAATTCAAATAACAAATTAACAGTGACTTGTTTCTAAAAAAGTTGCTGACTCATTGACTCGCTAACTAATCAGTATTTGTAATATGTAATAATTTCATGAGTTACATTTATATGAAATTCGCTTTTGAATTCTTCGCGGCATTGTATATTCAATTTGCTAGCTAATGCAACAACGATGAACAATTTGCTGAATTGCCTGCTGAAGTAGAGCGGACCTACAAGATTCTTCACAGCGAAATACAAATTTCAGTTAAATTAAATAAAAATGATTGATAACTTCGTCGCAAGTACAATATTAATAATTGCTGTTCTAATTATGGAGATGTATTACCCAAATTATTATCATTCAATATGTCTCTAAGAACCTTTGAAACAAAATAACAACATTAATTAGTTCATTGCATTCAATTCTAAATTTCGAGTAGCCATTAATTGGTCTCCAATTACTTCTTCCAGTCACAATTTGGACAATATGACCTATCAATTTGCCGAGTGTATAATTATTCTTGGTTTGTATAGTAACTCAAGTTAATTTCGTTTTCGTAACTTCACATGTGAATACTTGTCATATATGCCTTAACTTTAACTCTGCAATCTCGCCGTACATAATTTTCCTCGAAATCATTCGAGGTAAATGCCAGCACACTAACCTGGCATACTTCGTTTTAGTTACTGAAACAATTTAGATCGTTGAGTTCGATGGTCGCCACAAGTTGGATGTCCGCTTCAACGTTGCTCATTATTCCTGCTCAACGTCATATGAAAACACTGGGAATAAAACACTGGGATAAATGCATGTTCTGGGAATTGCTTTATTGATCTAAAGTTTTGCGAATTATTTTAATGCATATATAGAAGCTCTGGGAGAGTGGCTTCAATACATGAACTGTGCAAATTATAAGACCACCTGCAATTGTGTATGGAAAATTAACCCTAGTAGTCACAGACTTAAATTAAGCCTTGACAACGTTGTGGGAAGCGTGGTCCTCTGATATAACGTCATCCTCTTATATATAGCACTAAATTTCTAGATCGATTATACTATCTCGTCTATAGTTTAAAGTTTAAACGAATATTAGAGCATAGAGGGATGTTGTAAGGCCTCCAACATCGTATTTTAATACGTGCTATACTTTAATTAGTCCAAATTTTGTTGAAAACGTATGAAAAACATGGTACAAACGAGAAAATTCTGTAATAAAATATTTTTTAAAATTCTCTAAATCTGAGATGTAAAGTAAATTTATGGACGAAGCAAAAGAAACATATAAAATAGAATTTTTTCTAATGGGCAGTGACTGTCGACAATGCATGGAAAATGCCAATAGTGCCGATGAGCGATGGCATAAACGTAGCTACGCCATTATTTATTAATTGACCCAAAGGGAGGGAAAAATGTTCACGAATGAAGCCAGAGCGAAGCTGAAATAAACTTTAAACGAAAAAACGCACAAGTAAAACCTTTAAGATATAAAATGGATATGTTATCGCTAAGTCGTAAACTAATGTCTATCCTATTAAAACTACCAGTCATTACAACAGCCATATCAGGCAATGACAGTAACGCAAAATTTTACACATGCTATCTATTAATGTAAATAATGTAAATGTATCTCATAGAGAAAATATTCATAAAATCTTATTTAGTGTATAATATTTAGGGATGGCTGACAGTGCGAATAATTGATGCCAAACACAATCAATGGTCTTTTCTCGACTACATTTAAACCGAACTTGGCTTGTATATATAAATATAAAGTCAAATTAAATTCCCTGCAGGATAAACAAAATTGAAGGCAATGGCTTACACTTCAATTTGGCAATGAGTGTCAAATTGAAAAATGTAGGCTTGAGCATGTATTGATACTATTTATCTTTTTTATCAGTTTCATTCATATTCTAGAATATCTAACTTTTTTGCAAAACCTCCGAGCTACTTGTAGATTGACGTTTTCTTTCTTCGTCGACTCAGTTATCGTAGTATCAAGTCAACCTTGTTCACATATGTTTGGGTGTTTGGGGTGTAACCTTCATATTTTACAAATGCACTTTGAACTGTAACCTCGGCAAATTCGTGTTTCAATCCCCGCTCGCAGTTCACTTAAATTGTAGCGGAATCGAACCAACAGTTCCACTAAAAGCACAATCGACGCGTCTATACTCTTTCGTTGGTAAGTTAGACCCAATGATAAATTTTTAGTATTCTGATATCCCATAAACATGCAGATCCCATTGTTTGTCATTTTGAGCCATGCAAGTACGTACATTACTAAACTCACAGTACCGATTTATCTTTTTTGTTGGATCACTGGCCTATTTAGTCTTGAAAAAGCCGATCAATCATTTCTCATGGTGTTCATAATAAAGAGATTTAGGTAACAAAAAGTCAAGGGTTGTGGTGTTATCATTTACTTGACCCTTCTGTCACAAGATTTGAATCGTGTCCAGTGGGCAAATGAATTAAGAACTGAAACAATCAACCTTAAGAGTTGTTTGCAATCCAGTCCACAAAGTAGGAGACCTCAGTGTAGACTCCAGGATACCCAGCAAGGGCGCATCCACGTCCCCAGGAGACAATACCGCAAAGGTAACTGCCGCATGCAAGAGGTCCGCCGGAGTCTCCCTGGCAGGAGTCCTTGCCTTCTTCTCCTGCGCACATCATCGAGTCGGCGATTTGACTAACTGAGTAGCTTGCTCGGCACGACGCGTCACTCACGATCGGAACAGTAACCTTTTGGAGAATATCAGGGGTTGATCCACCGGAGCTGAGGGTTCCCCATCCCGACACTAGAGCGTTACCAGAGAAGGACTGCCCAGAGGCGGGCAGAGTGACGCCGTCAACGTAGCTGTTGAAGATCAACGGAGTTCCGACGAAGAGCAAGGAGATGTCGTTGGTTGTGGTGGAGGAGTCATAGTTTTCGTGCATGATGATCTTGGTCACATCTCTAGCCTGTTCGGTGCCTTCGTCCTTGCTCAGGTCATGCTCACCGGCCACGATCTGTTAGCATTTTAGAATAACATGTTACAATAATGCAGAAGCTACGTGGCAAATCTTGTAAAATCATTAAATTACTATATAAACTTTCTAGACCTTTCTTCGGGTACACTTTATAGCATCGTAACTCTAAATTTTCAATAACTTTGTTCAATGCAAAGCACACAAATCAGCTTTGATAAAAAATTCAATTTGTAATGTGTAAACGTGTTTGTGCTGTTCCTCACCTTGAACAAAATTAGTCGAACAATAACCAACAAAGAATACATCGATCAACCAATGAACTCTGCAATTTATTTATACCGACCCTCAAATTTTTCGGATTGTCGTAGTTCTCGCCATCGACGCAGTGAGCGGCGCAGATCATGACGGTGGTGGTGTAGACGGAAGCTCCACAGAAGTGGAAGTTGGCGCCGAAGGAAGTGTCCTGGAAGCTGAGCTGGTAGGGGAGTTCACCAGGTCTGGCATCCGTGCCTCCGACAATCCTGTTGTGGCCCCTCCTCCAGCGGGGAAGGGTGGACGGGGCCGCTGCAAATGGAAAATGATATCAAATGTCTGTAAATTCTATTGACACAAATGCTCGAACTGTTTGAGTTATGACAAAGATATTAATTTGAGTTCAGACAAAGACATAATTGGCGATCTAAGTTCTGCCAAACAATTTGATGAATATCATGACGTGGTAGAATGCTCTTGCAGGAGTTTCTTCGTTGAGCCGTACTAATAAACATGATTGATACCTCCAAGTCAAACCATGCAAATTTTGTTATGATTATGAATATAAATATAAATTACAATCTTTAAAGAGTATTTTTTCTAGGGGTTGAATTCTCTTATTCGAAGCTCTTCTGAATTCTACTATCAGATTGCTTAACATCTATTCCGGTATCGAATAAATGAACCGTAATCGACTGTATAATAGACTAGGCTAGACTAGAATACTAGACTATAAGACTTATACTATAATAGGAAGTGATAGACTTGGAACTTAATATCTTTATCAGGAAATCTCCTTCATTAGATGAAAATGATGATGCCGAGAAAAGGAATCTACAATATCGCAAGAAATTCTTGCAATTAAATATTTTGTTGGGCTCCATAACAACGCTAAAATCTGTGTTGACTAAGATCTCTACGGATGAAGACTTGAATGACTTTTCGTTGAAATTTGAACGTGATACATTCATCATCGAACTAGAATCGCACGACTTCATACATTGGATTTACTACATTTCTTATAAGAAAAACTGATACATTTCGTACAAGTTAAATCATAAAATGGTTCATAACGTTATTTGCAATATTGAGTAACACTCACCGATGGCCGAGGCTACCAAGAGGCACAGAATGAGAACCTTCATTATGATCCGCGTCTGTCAACTGAGGTGGAGACTGCTAACCTGTGACCTCTTTTATACTGCAATCGTGGGAGATTCAACATGCAACGATGCAGCCAGGAATCTCAAGGTTGCGGTTGTGGACTTTCCCATTATCTATTTTCGGTCGGATAACAATTTTATTGCGTCGATTTTCTGAGTCGGGTTGCACTCATAAAATTAATATAAATATACAGTCACCGAATAAATAGTACAGTGAGCATCAAAAATCCTTCTAAGCATTGAAAATAGTATGTACATAGTACTTATATTGAAAATAGTATGCATGCATGTATATGTGTGCATATGTATGCATGTGAGGTTGGACTATTTTGAATGTATAAAAATCTCAAATCGATTAACTGCTTATACCGTCAGGTAATATTATTGTTTTGAGTTACACTATGCATCTCTAATAAACTGGCATCAGTATCCTTAATATGCGAGAAATAATTGGGTATGGTAGAGTAAAATATTGATGCGGAGTGGTGAAGGTTTTTCACGCCTGAAATTTCAATCAAATTCATCAGAGATATCAATTCTAAACTTTGAACATTCCCTATTTCAGGCAAGAAATTTTTTGGCAAAAATCTTTAGAATTGTTCTTCTCTCAAAACAGATGCACGGTTTAATGAAGAAACTGCGTTACTTATCATTTCCCGTAGCCGTAAAACTCTGAACTGATCAGAGGTTCATTATAGACAAACAAAATTTCTTCCAGCGGCCGTTTACGCGAACATGATGAAATTGGAACGCCTACAGCGGTTAATGGAACGCCTATTCAATCGGCATAGAAGAGGAATTTACTATAACTTGAAAAAATTCAAATCACAAAACTTCAATTAGTTCTCTTAAAAAAGCCTCTCGTGCTACAACCTCTCCGATGGCTCAACAGTGGAGTCTTCGCGCTTCAAGCTCAAGAGATCTATTTTCAATTGGAGCAGACTGGGACTTTCCTTCAAATCGATTTCTCACGAGGTATGTGTATGGTACTGAGATAATTTTTTCATGCTACATTTCTCTCATTGTTTCTTGTGCTGCCATGCTGGAAGTGTGTACGTAATCCTGATGAATTTGAGATCGTATGAAGTCAGTAAATACATGGGCATTCTATTCTAAACTAACGAAAAGTTTTCTCGACTCCGCTTTATAGATGGCCATCGATGGCTCATCGATGCATCATCGGTGCTACGGCTACGATTTATGCCAACACCCATCAATAAACCATGGATGCTGCACAAATAATTTATATATTGGTGAATTGTTTCAATAGAGAAGTGCCATATGGTTCTAAAAGGAATATTAAAGTCAATAATTTATTAGAAATGTAGTTATCATTTATGGATGTTGTAGCATGGAAGCCATGAATAAACTTTCTTAATTATAAATAAACTTCAAAAAACGAGAGAGGGAGAGAACAAACTAAAAAAATTAAGCCAACAACTATTATGTACAATTTTTTCTAACTTTTGGGCGACTGTATTTGCTCTGTACTTTGACCAAATATATTTGTTTCGTTGTAACATTGATGCCTATAAAATTTATGAACTGTAACTCCCGACAATTATTCAATAATTTTTCTCGAGATAAAGATATGTGTCTTACTAAGGCTCCATAGAGGTAGATACTTATGGAAGGCGTAGAATGGTAGGTATTATACTGTCTATAGTAACGAGAATAATTTAATTAGGAAATATACCTCCAGCGATTATTTATACAGGGTCCACCAAAAAAACTCTCTGATTTCAATAGGCTTTTGCAAAAATCATACGATACATACAAAACAATTAATTTTATTGGTGAATAGCTTATTTGATGCCATTTTACATCACTTAGTACACTTTACATGGTTTTGAAAATTATGTTCGATAAATGATCTCCCCCATTGTTAAGACATTCACGAAGTCTTTCCCTGAAGTTGCCCATAGTTCTTCGTGTAATTTCCCTTGGAATGGCTGCCACTTCCTGCCTACTGGCATATTTTAGTTCTTGCAGATTTCTGGGACGATGTTTGTACACTTCAGCCTTTAGGTAGCCCCACAGACTCGCACTGCTCGCCGGTCCATGGAAATGTTAAGAGAGTTGTTCGTTGGACGTCTTGCCTCTTTAAGAGGAGACATTTCCTGGCCCCCACGGTCACCCGACCTATCACCGTGTGATTTTTTTTCTTTGGGGCAACCTAAAGGCTGAAGTGTACAAACATCGTCCCAGAAATCTGCAAGAACTAAAACATGCCAGTGGGCAGGAAGTAGCAGCCATTCCAAGGGAAGTTACACGAAGAACTATGGGCAACTTCAGGGAAAGACTTCGTGAATGTCTTAACAATGGGGGACATCATTTATCGAACATAATTTTCAAAGCCAAGTAAAGTACACTAAGTGATGTAAAATGGCATCAAATAAGCTATTCACAAATAAACTCAATTGTTTCGTATGTGTCGTATGATTTTTTCAAAAGCCTATTGAAATCAGGGAGGTTTTATTGGTGGACCCTGTAAAAAAACTACCTGCTAGAACCTCTATTTATTTTTTCTAGAACCTCTCTAAAACTACCTTCTAGAACCTGCTAGAATCTCTCTCTAAAACTACCTGCTAGAACCAAGCGGCAATCTATTGCGCAGAATTCCAACGAAGATGAATGCCTGGTTGAACATCGATGATGTCAAAAGACGAAAAAGGGACCATTATTATTTCGGAAGTTTTAATTATAATCATCGTGTCTGGAGCTGAGGTAAACACAAAAGCTAAGATATTGAACCACTGTTCGAAATGAATAGGATAACACTTAGAAATAGACATCTAGTTATTATTTTTCCACCGAATGTTGCCACAAGAGTTTTTTGAATAAACAATGTTGTCTCAATTTTGAATAAAAATGGCAAATGCTGTAAATTTTAAGTGAAAAATTTTGGCGTTTAATGAATTTTCGGACGCACTAATCTATGTTTATTTATGAACAGAATCGTGTATTCAATATCTATTAAACCATAGGTAATTTATATGGTTTTCATGATCAATAATTAAATGAAACAACTATATATACTACGAGGTTTGTAATTTTTCTATCACCGGGCAGTAACATTGATTGTGGATTAATACTTGTGCGGATGTTCCTGGAATAACTTATTTACAATCTAAACTGTCAATGATGATATATATTCGATGTAGTTTACTTTTTCATCCCACGTTGCGATTTATCCAGTCAACATAATACGACACGTCCGTGAAAACTCCGGGGTAGTTTTCCCTAGCACAGCCGTACAGCCAAGATGCAATCCCTGCTAAGTAGTTGGTACCGTCACTACGTTTGCAAATCAACGGACCTCCGTTGTCACCTTGGCAGAAACTCTTTCCCCCCGCCACATCACCGGCACACATCATCGTGTCGAAAATCTCTTCTGCGCCGTAAAAGGATCTGCAGTCTTCCTGTGTCACTATTGGGAGAGTGACAGACTGCAAAATCGAGGAGGCAGATCCACCTTCAGTTGTGGTTCCCCAGCCTCCGGTCAGACAATCCCCAGAAGCTACCTCGCCTGAATCTGCTATAGGAAGAGCTTGGACCATCGAATTCATTTCAAACGGAACAGACAACTGCAACAGCGCGATGTCGTTCAGGTAAGTGAAGTGGTCGTACTCTTCGTGCTGGATAATTTTCTTCAAAATTATCGTTTGTTCTGTGCCTTCACTTTGGGATAAACGGCTCTCTCCTGCTACCACCTGATGGACAGAATACGTTAAGTTAGAGACTGGCTTGAAGTTAACGTGATCGTGGGTGAGTTTTTAGCGTCGTAATAGTTATCAAATCAGAAGCGACACTGAGTTTTAGAACAAGGGGATAAAAAACTTCATGATCTATTCTAGTTATAATGACTGGTTATATGATTACTTATTCAAACTTTTATTTGGGCCAGATTGTATTGAATTTGTCGGAATTTATCTGTAAAAATGCTATAAAATGTAATAAATTAACATAACATTATCTAGGTGGATTTATAATATTTTAGGGGGCTTTATCCCCTAAAACCAGCCTAATGGCTCCACTGCATACAATTAATTCTATTAACACAATTTTACAATTGCCAATGATATTAACGTTTAACTTTGTCATTCCTGATTCACACGGGGGAAATTATCAATTATCTTTGCGACAATTCACCTGAAGGTAGGACGGATTATTGAAGTCAGCTCCTTCAAGGCACTGTCCAGCAGTGATGACCCACGAGGCGGAGTAGATGGTACCGCCGCAGAAGTGGAAGTTGTAGCCGAAGGAGATGTCCTGGAAGCTCACGATGTACGGTATGTCCCCAGGGGCAGCGTCTTCCCCACCAATTATCCTACTCAGCCCCCTACTGAAGCTTCCCCTGGTTTGGGGCGCCGCTATTATGAAGAGGATAAGTTAAGTTGAGTTTAAAAATAACCGTAGATAATATTTTTTCAGACTGTTGCTGACAAGGTTTTTGGTCAAAATGTGAATAAATATTGAGACTAAAACATAGAAAAATATTGTAATGATTGCTTAAACTAAAAACGCAATAAATTTCGATAGACAATAAAGGGGCTTCTTATAAGTACAAAAGACCATCTTAATTTCATGAAACATTTTAGGACAAATAATGAGCAATGACGACAGCAAACGTATACGGTATACCTGAGGTAGCAACTGCGATGCAGAGAACAATTAGTAAAGTCTTCATGGTTCGTGCTGTGGGATTTGCGTTTGCGCTCAAATACGAGATCACGTGGGAGCATCACAGCTGAGCAGCATTTTTCTGCAGATGGAGTTACGAATAATAAATGTTGATAGAGAAGTGATACTTGACAGAGGCGCCATCATTCTCATCGTTGATTGCACGTAAAACGCGCAGTAGTTTGTTCATGAAGATACTTATCGCCATGCATGTGACCACATGTAATTTTCAACATCTTTGATTTAATAAAGTATGTTTTATATGTTACATATTAACAATTCTATATGTACTTAAATAATTAATTTCAGCAAAAGATGATAAAACTTGACGCGCAAAATATACAGTACAACGATACTCATACAAAACTTTACATTTATTATGAAAGTTTCATAAGGCAAAAGTTATCCGATTTTATGATGTTAAATTTAAGAACTAGGTCTCTTGGTTGTTTCATTCAGTAATGATGGTTCAAAGTTGATAGAGTCAATAAAAAATCAGACATGGTTGTAGCAAGATTGGTCATACTTAAATATTTAATTGAAAAATTTTCGCTATGGTACGTCATTGAATTAATTATTCAAAGGTCTTCCACGGTGGAGCACACCATTGCAGTTAATTAGAGAAGATTTCATCTTGCAAGTCATGTGATAATTGAAATGTTTTCCATGTTGGAGTACAGGAGCCATCAAGCTTGAGGGTCTGGGAATGACTCGTATATCGTGCGGGCAGCTGTCATGTCGTGTCTTCATTAGAGACAAGTCAACCCGATGGGTTTTCCTGGCTTATTTTATTGTTATTTCATTGGTCAAGATATGGACTTTACCCATTGTGACGGGTATTATTTCATTTATACTTATGTAAACTTGATGAATAGGAATTGGTATTTTCATTAAATTAAAATATTTTTACCGTTGTCCTATTCGACTTTTTTTATATTATCATAAAGCGAATAGAGAATATTTGATCGATTATTACCAGAACTTGTAAACTAATTATTCAGCAATATTTTGATGAAATTGATTTTTGAATTATTTTCGCTTAACGACAATATTCCTGCACTGAATTAACTTACTATCGTAAATTCCAAATGGTAAAATGTATTAATTTATGGTTTAATAACCCATTTAACTTGATTAATACGTTATAGGGGCACTCAATCCAGATGATATCATAAGCATAAGTGACAGCCCTAAGTTTGGCAAATAACAAGAATGTTAGCTTAGGTTATTCGATCTTTTATATACAATAAATTACAAAGGCTAGCTTCCTAGCTATAAGTGTAGTTACACCTTCATAACTCTGCACCCAATATCACACAGTCATGTTGGATAGGTGTTAGACTCACTTGTGTTGGCAACACAATCCAGCACATGACTATTTGAGATCTCTTCATGGCTGATTACAGAACTCGGTCCAAACTTGGCGAGCTCGAGTGCCTGAGTCACGTACACAAAGATGGTCCCTGACAGAAGCAGCGCGAGCAATGCTTGACAACAGAAATAGTTTAGTTGACTATTTGATTTGCACGTCAATAACAAATGCTATCACATTTTAGAATGAATGAAAATACTTGCACCTCAAATTTAAATTGTTAATGGTACAAAAATTTGTGTAGGATTTAAAGGAACTCGGAACAATATATGTATGTTCCTACATAAAAATATCGAAATGAACTCGGAAAAATATCTGTGTTTTATCAAAATATTTGTAATGTATATAAGTTCAAAATTTTCCACGATTGTTTTTCTGCACTTTTTGATTGTTTTTTTTCGATAGTATCTCCTCAAATTTATGTCAATTATCGTTTCATTTATTCACATTCTATTCGATTGTTTAAATTATCAAATGCCCTCTAAATGCTTAACTTATTTTGCTTATTAAATTTACACTAAAGTTGTTGTTATCGATTCAGTTCAAAATTATCAAATACTCTGAATTACGGCTTTTTATAATAAGGATTAAGAAAAATATATTTACTATCGTTAGACCAAATCAACGAAAATAACCAGTGTTAATGATAATTTTATTGCAAATTAGTTTCTTATTAGTCGCGTAATCTCAAATAATTGTTCTTTTTTTACTCTTCTCAGGTTATATGTGAACTAAAAATTCTATGTTGACTCAAAGTATGTTATTGTTTTACCAAACCTATCCCTCTGCTTCACAATAGTGTGCATGAAGTATATATAGGACTTGTTTGCCACTCTCATTGAACTGTCAATTACGTTCGTTTGAGGGAAATCTTCTAACTCCCAAACTAATTTGTTTAAATGCTCGTGTAATTAGCTGCTTCAACGGAACAATCCTTAAAATTGCCTTTGCAAAGTTGGCCATTGTGTTCCAGGTTTCAGGTTAGCAAAAACTCGGAGCGATTGAAGTGACTGAAAAAGTCCATACTTGGCACCGAGAATTTTATGTACGACGCATTGAAGATTAAGCTCATCATTTCAATAATGGTTTGAAGGTTTTGTTTTTAACAATATACACGTCGTACTTATTTATCGATGGGCTGGTATAGAAACGAAGATTAATTTAATAATCAGATTGAATTCTTATGAATAGTTCCATTGAGTTGGCTAAATTTGAATTCTGAATTTGTTTTTCTGACGTTGAGTGCGTAAAAATTTTTTATTTTTAGATCGTTTCCTCCGCTAGAAGTCAACATCAGGGATAATTCAAGCAATTTAAGCAGGATTCAAGGATTAGGAAGCCGGCTCACTTAGTGATTAGAGGCGTGTTTTAAAAATTTCAATAAAATGCTTTAACGTTTCAAAACCTTCTTCAACATTTTTCAATCTGATTCTTTAATTTTTGTGTATATTTCTCCCTTTCGTAATATCTCGTGAATATAGGGTTAGATTACTGATGCGAATCCCTTGTCGATAAAAATCACAAATTAAACTGGCTACAGTATTTTGTCACACATAGAATATCTCCTCATAGTGATAGTCATAAGGCCACATAGATACCCTGACCTCGCCTGACACTTGACTAGGGAAAGCCCCTCGAACAACATATGCGGGTTCACACGGACGCCGTGTGCACTCGTTGCGGTTGTTCCCAAGATACATACAAACTCATCACTGTAGGTAGGGATAAGAATTAACGCTTGAATAATATTAATAGTACAAGAACTTATTAACTTGAAGAGTATTAGAGCAATCGTTATGGGAAATAGAAATGTACGTCTTCAGAATTAAGAGTTTAAGTCAAGTTTGATCGTACGAATAAAATGTTCACTGTCTAATAAAAAATTAATAATCACAAGATAATTTAATAAAATATCAATAATCACAAGATAATTATGCTTTAAATATCCTAGCTCAAGATGCAATGGGGACTATGATGGGAGTTCATTATAGCGGAGAGGCAGTGTGTTCTAGCCTCGGCCTCTACGGTGTCTGGAGTGAAGGCCATAAACATTAATTTCGAGACCAGCGCTCGCTAGCCCAGAATGCCGAATGCGACACAGAATGGCTATTGGACCTCCATGAGGAATATGCTTTCTATTTATTCGCAAATCATACTACTTATGCAGTCAAATTGTCGTTGTCATTTGCATTAAGTGATATAAGCAGATTAGAGTTTCATATTTTGGTTTATGAAATAATTCTTTATCCTGCATCTCTGGACCGAGAACAAATAACTACGAACAGATCACTTACGGGAATTGCATTAATTCTACTTTTAATGAAAAGTTTTAAGAGATTTCAAATAACAAGCAATTAATGTACGCTTGTTGCAGTTTTGGCATAAAATTTGTTTGTTTTTTATATTTTTGCTGCTTCCCGGTATCACTGTACCTGATTATAAACTTTGTTTGATCAAAATAAATTATATTTCAGTCTAACCTACAATTTTCATTTATTTCTTGAATTTTTTGCCAATTAATTATGCAATTCAATCATGTCAACAATTTCAGATTAATTTTTTATTATACCGTTTGATTTTATCAGCAGGTCATGTCATTTTCCTACAATATTTCAACCAGAATAAATTTTCCAATACTTGTGGCCCATTTTTACGGTTCTTGAAAAGCGTCTCTTCCATGCCGATTTTACCTCATTTTTCCCTTGGACACAACCGCGCTGGTCAAAAATTAACTTTGACAAGTCCAAAATGGTTCCCTCAGCCAATCCGCGACAATTGATGTCTCGAAGTTCTTTGCCTCTATAAAATCTAATTTCCACAGAAATGTACTGGTAGAAATTTTTATGTGCTCCGCATTGACTTGGAAAGACCACGGCCAAACTGTAATTCGATAGAGGCTCCACAATAGCTCTAATTTTCCTCGAAGCTGAGCAAGAAGTTGGCCTTCACAGCCAGCGTTTGCGGCGGGATGCGAGAAGCGCGGGACAAAGTACGTTGGTTGCGACGAAGTTCGGCGACAAGTATGGATAAAAATATGGGATGAAATCCTGGAAAAATTTTTTATTAATGTTACACTCTAAAGAGAATAAGCGTGTTCAATAAACTCGTAAAATAATTAATTCTTTCCAGTGGTAAAAAATTTATACGGCTTCATTGGCTGTATACTCGTGTTTATTTTACGTTTTAACAAAAAAATTCCTCTACGAATTCTGGAAGAAGAATATAGGAATCCTAAAAAAAGCTGTTCGTTTCAGAGAGTTTTTTTAATACGTTCAAGCCCTCGCTGAAACAGTCACACTACAACTAAAGAATGAATGGTGTGTTCAGCGACCAGCAGTACCGCAGCCAAGCTATAGGCTGTCATCACATTCATGCGAGCTTTGAAATTCAGCACGGGGCTTAATTACCGAAAATTTAAACCCCTAAATGGAAATTTCGCAGAACATTCGAAAGATTTCACACAGCGTTTCTCTGAGCGTAGATCTCATGGGATAGAACCTTTTCATTTGTACGGTTTTTTGGCCTTGAATAATACGTGTTAAGTCATCATCAGTGCAGGAACAAACGCCTGAAGCCGTTCCTTTTAAACGTTATAAAAATTTTTGTTTGAATCATGCATAACGCATACAGACTTGCATTTTCATTGGTCT